ACTGGAAAGTGTCAATATCAGGTTTAATAAAGATTAAAAGGAAAAATAACATATTGTGATCAGTTAATAGAACAGTGAAAACCAATTGCAGAAGAGTTCATTTTTAAAACCCACTGTGTGTTAGCTATTCAGGATAGAATCAGAATGTTGATGTTAGAGAACATATAATGTCTCATTCAAAGGGTAATACAATCCTATCTAATAAAGAGGGAATATGCTAATTGACCCTCATGCTGTCACAAAGATGGAGCACCCACAGCCAATAAGGAGGGAACATGCTAATTGACTGCCCCACCCTCAAAGATGACGGCACCCACAGCCAATAAGGAGAGAATATGCTAATTGACTGCCACTCCCTCAAAGATGGCGGCGCCCACCGCCACAGGGGTGGCAGGGGAGGGCAGTTGTGGGCAACCAGGCCAGCAGGGGAGGGCAGTTAGGGGCAACCAGGCCAGCAGGGAAGGGCAGTTGGGGGCGACCAGGCTGGCAGGGGAGGGCAGTTGGGGGCAATTGGACTGGCAGGGGAGCAGTTAGGCTTCTATCAGGCTGGCAGGGGAGTGGTTAGGGGTGTTTAGGCTGGCAGGCAGAAGTGGTTAGGGGCAATCAGGCAGGCAGGTAGGCAGGTGAAAGGTTGGGAGCCAGCAGTCTGGGTTGTGAGAGGGATGTCTGACTGCCGTCGGACCTAAACCGGCAGTCGGGGGAGGGATCAGGCCTAAACTGGCATTTGGACATCCCCGAGGGGTCCCAGATTGGAGAGGGTGCAGGCTGGGCTAAGGGACACCCCCTCTCCTCCTAGTGCACGAATTTCGTGCACCAGGCCTCTAGTCTATATTATAAAAACCCAGTGGCCCTAACTCTTTAACGACCAAAGACCTGTGTGGGTGGGCGAGGCACGTGCAGGTGGGTGGGGCTGCGAGTGCGACAAGGTGCACATGGGTGGGCGGGGCCGTGTGATTTCGTGCGCTGGGCTTCTAGTTAATACATAATAATGAAACCTAAAATTTTAATGCATATGATATTAGGAAAAGATTTTAAAATTTTACTATAATATGTTTCCTAAATTTGTTCTTCATTTTTTTATTTTGTTAAAAAAAGATTAACAATAAACCAGAGAAAAACTAGTGTTAAATGAAATAAAATCAGCATTGTTGAATTTTTTCATAAATTTATTTTTAATTATGAACTCAAAGGTAATCAATTTCAATTTTTGCCTTTAGTGCAGAGCAGCCTTCAAAAGAACTAATGATTTCTGGAATTACTATACCTATTTTTTTAATGGATACAACTAAATATTAAATATATTCTCTTCAACATTGCTTTTACAAAATAAATTAATTTGCAAACATTAGTTATAGCAATGGAAAAGATGAATTTCCTATATTCCTGAATAAATTATAAATTAATGGGAGTGGGATTTATAAAGAAACATTTTAATTTTTACTTTAAAAAATTGTGTTTCAGCATTATTTAGAGTTGGCAGAAGTCAGATGGGATCTTTGTCTTATTGCTTGGGGTAGCATGAACCTTTATTGCACCGAGAAACATGGCAGGTATCAATCTCATACACCTATAGCATGCACCTTAGCAAACATGGTGGGAAGCATGTAGGAATGTTTGTGATATATGGGTATTTTTTTAACCTAGTCTTATTTTATCTTACAAAAGAAAACTTGCAACTTATCTCCTCCCAGTTTATAGTCTCACAGAAGAGGAGGAAAACAAGCCTATGCTATTGATAATAAATAAGTTTAACAGTTTTATTTTAGATCCAACCACAGAGGTTTAATTTGCTTTTCACACTCATTCTCATGGTTCCATGAAAGCTTTAGTAGCAGCTGAGGTTTCAACTGTGGGGTCAGACTATCATGGTGGAATGCTTGTTGAACCCCTCTATAAAAGCAAAGAGAACATTTTATAGATATATGCAATTGCAATGTTTCAAAAACTGGCCAACTTGGGATTCTTAGGATATATCCCCAGAAGTGGGATCACTTGGTCAAATAGCAGTTCCATTTTTAATTTTTTGATGAATCTCCATACTGTTTTCTATAGTGGCTGCACCAGTCTGCATTCCCACCAGAAGTGCATGAGGGTTCCTTTTTAACATCTTCACGAGCACTTTTTTTTTTGTTGATATATGAGTGATAGCCATTCTGGCAAGTATGAGGTGATATCTCATTGTCATTTTAATTTGCATCTCTCTGATGATTAGTGACTTTGAGTATTTCTTTCATTTGTCTCTAGGCCTTCTTTATGTCCTCTTTAGAGAAGTGTCCATTCAGGTCCTTGGCCAATTTTTTAAATGGATTATTTGTCTTCATTTTGTTGAGTTGTATGAGTTCTTTATGTATTTTGGAAATTAACCCTTTATCAGATGTATCATTGGCAAATATGTACTCCCATTGAGTAGGATCCCTTTTTATTTTGTTGATGGTTTCTTTTGCTGTGCAGAAATTTTTATTTTGATGCAATCCCATTTGTGGCCAAGTCAAAATAATTCCACCCTCTTGTTTTTATTGTTGCTTGTTAAATATAGATTCCTGGACCAAGGCAGGCCTACTTAGTTAGAATCCACAGTGCAGAGACCTGGCCATTGGTATTTTCATCAGGCAGCCCAGATGGTCAGGCCAGTCAGGAAAACCTGGTGTTAATTCTCTCTTACTTGGCAGAGCAGCTAATTTCAGTTGAAGCCTTCAGTTACCATCCTATTTCATCCTTTCACATTTTAATTGAGATTGAGAATGCAGTTTATACTATAGTGGGCCCTGGAGATGCACAGGTAATGCATGAGCCCTGCCTGGTTAACAATCTAGAGTTCCTAGTACTCCAGTTTCATCAGAGTTGCAACAGCCTTTAAAAACTGTTGCCTTTGATTGCAAGGTAAAATCTCTCTCTTAGTCCCAGCTGCTGCAACAGAATATCATAAACTAGGTAGTTTTATAAACAAGACAAGTTTATCTCAGAATTCTGGAGGGTGGGAAGACCAAGATCAAGGTGCACATAGATTCATTATCTGGTGAGAGTCCCCTTTCTGGTTCATACACAGCTGTTTTCTCTTTGTGTCCTCACCTGGCAGAAAGGGCAAGGGAGTGCTCTGAAACCTCTTTTAAAAGGGCACTAATCCCATTCCTGAGGGCCCCACCCTCATCACCTAATCACCTCCCAAAGGTCCCACTTCCAAATATTATCACATTGGAGATTATGGATTTTAAGAGAACACAATAGCATGTACCTTGATATATCACACTGAAGCCTGGAACCCAACATGAATCAGTCTCAGAACAGAATTAGGGTACATGATATTGTATCTTATCTTATGAAAGCTTATTTTATGAAAGTGGTTAGCTTCTTTTAGGATACTATGGCAAATTCATGACACAGTTCCATTTCACCAGCTCTCCCTGCACCTCTGCTTTCTATTATTTAATTTTATTTTATAATTTTTCATCTCTTTTTATAATATACTAGAAGCCCAACGTGTGAAATCACGCAACCCCATCCACCCACATCAGTCTTTGGTTGTCTCGGCGTTAGGGCCACAAACCTTTTATAATATAGACTAGAGGTCTTGTGCACAAAATTCATGCACAGGGTGGGGGTGTCCCTCAGCCCAGCCTGCATCCTCTCCAATCTGGGATCCCTAGAGGGATGTCTGGCAGGCCTAAACTGGCAGTTGGACATCCCTCTCACAATCTGGGACTGCTGGCTCCCAACCGCTCACCTGCCTGCCTGCCTGATTGCCCCTAACTGCTTCTGCCTGCCAGTCTGACTGCCCCCTGACCATTCCCCTGCTGGCCTGATTGATGCCTAACTACTCCCCTGCCAGGCTGATTGTCCCCAACTGCCCTCCCCTGCCAGCCTGGTCACCCCTAACTACCCTCCTCTGCCGGCCCAGTTGCCCCCAACTTCCCTCCCCTGCTGGCCATCTTGTGACCACATGGGGGTGGCCATCTTGTGTGAGGGCGTGGCAGTTAATTTGCATATTACCTCTTCATTATTTAGGATTCAAAGGTTGGGTTACAGTTATTGTGTGGTCTTTTATGACCTAATGAAAAATAACTGAGATTAAAGTTATGGAAGATAATTTTATTGGTGTATTTTATAATTAATTACATATTATATTGATATGTATCATATTTAGGATAATTATAAAATGTAATTACCAGTGGTGAACTGCTACCTAAAGCTATTATTTTGAAGTATAACATCTACTTGCTGATTACTACAACCTCCCTTAATTTGTGGATGAATTATTCTCTGTTCTTTCTGCAGCAAAATTTATTTGGAAGCATTACTTAGTAATAAAATAAAATGTCCCACAATAAAGTCTTTGAAGATAAGATGATTAAAAACAACAGAAGATAGTGGAGAAGGTGGTCATACAATTATTTATTTTTATCAATTAATACTGCCCACGACTTTCCCACTGTGTAAATAAGGTTTGACAATTTAGGGGTTTAATTATAAAATTTTTTACTTTCTTTTAAATTTGAACATGCTAGGAGGTCCAAGGATTGTCAGACTTTCCTTTGGGAGCTTAGCCTCTCTTAGGAGTAACTAGTACATAATCTACTAGTTTTCATTCTGAGAAAAAAATATAAAAATACGGTACATGTTGAATCAAGTAATTAATATCACTATATTTGATAAACAATGAACTCATGATCAAAAAGTATTTTCTCAGTGATACCATTTTCCTATCATTATTGGCTTATGAATGACTAAGGCATAAAATAACATACATGTAAATTCTTTTTTATTTCTATTCTTTTTTAAAATGTGTTTGATTCTAGGAAAATATTTCTGTAAAACAAGTGTGCTGTGTGTTGACCAGACATCATCTTTCGGAAACTAAATTGGGTTTGTAGGCTGAGCGTTCTCATTTAGATCTTTAGGATAGTTTCAGTGCATTAAGCTCATTCACTGTCTGGAGCAGATGGACAAAGAGTTATAAAATGAATACTAAGCTTTTCCATCCTTTGCCTCTGCTTTCGTTACAGAAACCCTTGAAACACTCATCAGACAAGCAGAGAATTACACCAGCATACTTTTCTGCAACACCTACAGGAACATGGCCTTAGAGGCTGCTGCTTCAGTTCAGGAGTTCTTCACGGATGTGGGGCTCTATCTATTTGGTGCGGATGTTAATCCTGAAGAATTTGTGAACAGATTCTTTGACAGTCTTTTCCCTCTAGTCTACAATCATCTCATTAACCCTGCTGTGACTGACAGTTCCTTGGAGTACTCGGAATGCATCCGGATGGCTCGCCGGGACATTAGTCCATTTGGTAATATCCCCCAAAGAGTAATGGGGCAGATGGGGAGGTCGCTGCTGCCCAGCCGCACGTTTCTGCAGGCACTGAATCTGGGCATTGAAGTCATCAATACCACAGACCACCTGCTCTTCTCCAGGGAGTGTGGCCGGGCCCTCCTGAGGATGCAGTACTGCCCTCACTGCCAGGGCCTGACGCTCAGTAAACCGTGCATGGGGTACTGCCTCAACGTCGTGAGAGGCTGCTTGGCGCACATGGCGGAGCTGAATCCACACTGGCAGGCGTACATCCGGTCCTTGGAAGAGCTGTCAGATGCCATGCATGGAACGTATGACATTGAACACGTGCTCCTGAACTTCCACTTGCTTGTGAATGATGCTGTGATGCAGGCCCACCTGGACGGACAGAAATTATCGGAACAGGTAGGCAGCCACTCCATATCAGCTGTCTGATCTTTTAGAACTCAGAGATGAGCCAAATACATAAAGTTTGTTGGTTTTAAGCACATGATTATGTAATAAAATCCTGGCAGCCTCACAAGATTCACGTTGTTCTTTCCCTTTTCTGAGGTCAGCCCGGAGCAAACCTCAGTGAAGAGGGTTACTTTAGTCTCAAATGATTACAGTCATCGCTGTGCTTGTGTTTTATAAATAAGTTCCACACAAAACTCTTGTCATATGAAAGTCCAAGGTGGATTTACAAAGAGCAGTCTTTTCTTTTAAGTAAATAGTTTGATTTCATATCATAAATATTCCTGTGACTATCCTGATAAAAATCAATTATTACCAAAACAGTTGTAGATTCTTTTCTAAATGAAACAACTGAGATTCGCTTTTTAACTTACGGTGACAGAAGGAGGAGAAACTGACTTTAAATTCCTTGAAAATTGACTCGTTAATATTTATTTCTGCCAACTCTAAAGTGATTTATAAGCTATTTATCAAGCTTTGATAGGCAGTCACACATCAATGAATTTAACAAATTCAAAATAAATTACTGGAAAGCCAGCAAATAATGACTTTCTCACATTCCCAAAGCAATCTCTGAGATCTAGTACTTCCAAGTCTAATCTCAGTAAATACATATTTCCACTTTAAGGAATCCATAGAGGTACCTGATATATTTCTGTCGGATGAATTTCAACTAGAAAAAAATGTTCTCAATTTCTTGAGAAAATCAAATGTATCTTTTGTTTAAACCATTAGAGAAACACATGCCTGATGAGATCCAAATCCTTCATCTTTTTTGGAAATTTGCCTCCTGCAAATGTGGATTATGGGGAGGGGGGTTATTTGGCCCTTTGATAACCTCTCCTGAGACTGAAATGATTGGCAATGATTGGCTGTGGTCAGGGCCAAATCAAGACCCATGAGCCTCATGAGAGATGTCTAAATGTTATGAGGGACACATTAAATAACAAGCTTGCATTGTTTTTGAATAAATGTTTTATAAGACTTTGAAAACATTACATGACTAATTTGTGATTTTATCTTGCTGAGAAATACTGTAATATTAATTGCTTGATAATAATTACTGATAATCATAATTCTTTCTGCCTAATTTCCTACGGGAGGGAATTTGTTAAATATCTATGAAAGTGTGAAGGCTTATAAAGGGGAATCTGGACCAAGATCTCCCAGAACAGTGACCCATCAGGTTTGTGGACAGCTATCATTGGAAGGTTCATCTTTATGGTGAATGACTGTCTGCACCCTAAACTGCCATGTGTGGTACTCTAGAATGTAATGCTTTGAAGAAGGGGAATTAGTCTTAGCCATCTTGGACTTCAGATATAGGAAAACAATTATTCTGCCACTTGGCCTTATATCTTCTATCTAGACTATTCACTCCTATTTTATTCAATTCTTCGATATATGCTTTCTTTGTAAAATAACTCATTGAACCACATAGCTCTGTCTTGCTCTCCTGGAAGACCTGCTGATTCGGGATGGGGTCAGCCAGATTGGAGGGATCATGGGGGTTGACACACAGTGGATACTAGGCCTGGATCTTTTCATTCCCTCACCATTGCAGCCAGATGTTCGTCTTCTCTCAGTCTGGTGTCTGGAGGATACCTGGTTGTGGCCTCAGTTCTGTGCCAAATGCACTATTTTTTAAAATAAGGAATGGGAGGATAGTTTTCAGGAACTTTAAGTTATTTCTCAATTTTTGTGTTATGTATGCATTTGCTTGAAGTTATTGAGGTTTCTCTGAGCTAAGAGATCTATTATCTCCATAACATGAGCTTTTGTGTCCTGGGACTAAGAAAGATTTAATAATACCTAGTGATTCTTTTAAAATTTCATGAAATAATTTTGATTAAATTTTATAATATGTAGCTGTTTGTATGCATTACTGATATGGTTTGAAATAATTCTCCTCCACCTTGAATGGGGCAAATTTTCTCTAAATTGGATAATTTTTTTTCTTGATGAAGTTCAGTGGTATTTCTGTTGGAGATTTTGCCTCTCCCTTTCTACCTGGGTGTGTTCTGAATGCAACAAAGCTTTCTTGGTTGGAAATTTTTCAAATGATTTTTAAGTGCACTGATTTTAGCTTCTGCAGTTTGTTTTGGTATATGTGCTGTCTTTTTTTTCTTCAAGAGTTTGTAAATTGATATTTAGTTTATTTGCATAAATCAAAAATCCTTTAGATTCATCAATTAAGAGGCCTCTATTTCTGACACATTCGATTGTCCAGTTCCATATTTCCACAATCCGTGTTGTTTTCCCCAGGAATAGCAGCCCAATGGCTCGTTTATAGCAGGAGTTCACCTACAGGTTTGATCTCTCTACTGCTAGGAACTCACTCTCCAGGCAGGATTTTGATTTTTTTCTCTCTTTAGTCGTTTTGCACACCCTTATCTTCCATTTTTAAGATTCACATGAAAGCAGCTTTATGCTTCTCTGAAGAATGGAATTGTCCTCCACAGCTTGTCAATGCTGTCTGAAGCAGTTCTCCATGTTTCTGATGGTTTTTGAAGGCTATTTTGGTAGCTACTTGATGTTGAATTTGTTGGATAAGTCTTCTAAGGAGTTAATCTTGCTTGTAATGTCAGCAATCAGCTAAACTTTTATATAGTTAGAATTTTTTTCTTTTCAAGCTTTCTATAGGTCCAATTAATAAACTATAGCTTTCCAGTTTTTTATTCACAGTCTTCACATTTACTTATAGTAAGTTCTCAATTTGGCTTCAGTATAGTTTATTTAAGGTCTCTAAACTGTCTTTAAAAAGTGGCAAAAATTCTCAACAATTTTATGTTTTTTTAAAATATATATTTTATTGATTTTTATAGAGAGGAAGGGAGAGTGAAATGATGAGAGATAAACATAGATTAGCTGCCTCCTGAATGCCCTCCACTAGGGATCGAGCGCACATGCAGGCATGTGTCCTATCAGGGAATTTAACTATGACCTCCTGGTTCATGGGCCAATTCTCAACCACCAAGCCACACTGGCTGGGCATCAATTTGATGTTTTTCACTTAGAGGGACAAATGATCCAGAGGCTAGTTCTTTGTTTCTCCTCACGAACAACATAAACTGATGAACAAAAACAGATCCAGAGACAAAGAAGCATTGATCAGACCATCAAACCTCAGAGGGAAGGGAGGGGAGGGTGGGGGTAAGGGGAAGAGATCAACCAAAGGACTTGTATGCATGCATATAAGCATAAGCAATGGACACAGACACGGGGGGGGGGGGGCGAGGGCATGAGTGGGGGCGCAGTGGGGGGAGAAGGACACATATGTAATACCTTAATTATTAAAGAAAAAATATATATAATAAAAAAACAACAAAATATTTTTATTCACACAAAAAATTGTTTTTAAATAAAAATCAGTTTTGCTTGCCCTTACCTTGGTCCTGCCTTTCAACAAACTCTCAAAAGGTCTCAGGTATACCATTTTAGAGTTTATCTTTGGCCTTCTTTGGCCAGAATGTTAAGTATATAAGATGTCTATATTTGTTACTTAATCCATTCTCTTAAAACTTTCAGCCATTAGCATTCATCAAAAGACTATTGTTGCCTGGTCAGCGTGGCTCCGTGGTTGAATGTTGACCTATGAACCAGGAGGTCATGGTTTGATTCCCAGTCAGGGAACATACCCAGGTTGTGGGCTCAATCCCCTGTGTGGGGTGTGCAAGAGGCAGCTGATCAATGGTTCTCTCTCATCATTGATGTTTCTATCTCTCTCTTCCTCTCCCTTCCTCTCTGAAATCAATACAGATATATTTTTAAAAAAGTTTTAAAACACGAAATCTCTCACTCTGATTATAAAAACCACCATCTCTCACAGCATTCCTTTGGGAGCTAGGCCTGGGCTAAACTCCCTTGGCACAACCCTTGGTGATGGTCACGGAGCTGCCAGAATCAGCATTACACAGAGCATCATGGCTCCATGGATGGCTTATCTCATTTGCCATGACTCGGTGGCCATCACAGGCCACGTCGCTTTGCACAGATAATTCTTCCCAGAACCTCTCCAGTGCAGAGCACACCTCAGTGCAGGTGATAGGAATGACAAGACAACAGAGCCTCTCAACCTTCCCCACACCTTTCTCCACAAAGTCAATAGTCATGGCTCATCACCAGTGGCTTTTCCTGACTACCCCAAGAATAAGCAGGGAAATGTCTTTCCACATCTAATTTTTGTTATTTGGGAAGTTCCTTAATGGACATTTGGAAGCCCCAACACTGGCCACTGATCCTCACCTGAGGATATTTTTCCTATTGATTTTTAGAGAGAGTGAAAGAGAGGGAGGGGGAGAGCGAGATGGAGAGAGAGAGAGAGAGAAAGAGAGAGAGAGAGAGAGAGATCAATTTGAGAGAGGCAGATTGATTGGTTGCCTCCCTGCTTCCTGTCTCCCACATGGGCCTGGACTGGGCCAGGGATTGAACCTGCAACCCAGGTATTTATCCTTTACCGGGATCTAACCACAGAGGTTCTTCAATTCACAGACCAACACTCTAACCACTGAGCAGGGCTGGCCAGGGTTGATCCATTTTTTCTTCAATAAGCTTTCCATTTTGTGGCCTTGGAGACCTAATCTAGCCCACAGTGATCAGAGTAGACTGACTCTTATATCCCCTTGGTTTGTGTCGAGCTGACCTTGAATGTGTGTGGGAAGGGCAAGAGGCAGTGTAATAAGCCTTGGGTAGGGTTTCTGCTCACTTCTATAATTTCACATTTGTCAACTAAGGAAGAATTTTTAAAGTCTTCACAATTCAAGAATGTTCATTCTAACCATGAGATCTTCCACTCCATTCACATTTTTCCCCTTTGACTGTGCTCACAAGGCCTGCATGGACCACAAGGGCTGACATTAACTCTTCAGCAGCTACCCTTTGAAATAGGTAGAGCCTCCAACTTTTTTTTTCTTTATTGATTAAGGTATTACATATGTGTCCTTATCCCCCCA